TCTATCTATCTATCTATCAGAACGGTTTTGAAGAATAAGCTGCGAAAAAGACAATTTTCGCTGCGCTCCGTCATCATAGGCAATCAACATATCGGCAAAACCCGCACGAATCATTCAGTCATTAGGTTTAAATGGTCTCCTCTGCGGCCATTGAAGATATGTTGTAATGCGATACTGTCACAAGTTCCAAATGGTGGACGACAGAGAAGTTCCCAAATCAGAAGTCAGAGAAGACAAATGGTTTGAAATAGCTCTCTGTTCTGAGGCTCTGCGAGCAGCTGCCAGGCCAGTGTTGGTCCACGGCCGCTGATGAGATTCTCATATCTAAGCGCATGTTCCCCTTTGATCTGCAGCATATCGGTGGATGGCGCATGTTGATTGATTTGCCTCAAGACACGGTTTCGTTTCCCTTACAGGACCGGTGTTAAATGTTCTAGGCCGTGGAGTTCATATGCGGTCCATCTCCGAGCTCTCACTGCCCTACTTGGTTCTACATTTTGAAGTTTATAGGTAATAAGCTGTGCAACAACCCTCCAGCGAGAAATCATTCTTTCTATTCCCTTTGAAACTGCCAAATAATTTCAAGGAAAGGCGTCATTTGGGAAAATAGGGAAATTTATTCAGTAAATTTTCGACACTGGATCCCCAGGTCGTCATGAGGCTTGAGAAAAATATGCAAAAACATTTTACGTTACAAAGTGCTTATACAGTTATATAGTCATCTAGTGTGGGTGCTAATTGGTAGTTGCAATTTACGTCACATCACAGTGGGCATAATTAGCAGTCGCAATGGCGTAATGGCTAATTGGCAACTGTAATTTGAGTCGGTCCGGGGTCAGTGCGGTTCATCCGGCGTGAGAGCTAATTGCGGTTCATGTTGGTCCATCTTTGCCGGCTGTAGTCTCTTCACCTTCCTTTGAGGTGTCTGTGGACTCCAGCCAACTCGATAAGCCGATTGATGCATGAATCATCGGAGTGCATGGCCTCAAGAAATTCGCGGCTTTTTTTGGAGGGGCATACTCTGACGATGCGTGTTTTGTCCCATGCAAAGGTGAAACCTGTGTCAAGACAATGCATAGCCACTTCAGACAAATGTTCACGTCTCTTCACTGCCGATTGGTGCTCGTGGATGCGTGTCTCCGCACGCAAGTAGCGCTCACACTGGATGATCCGCACTGAACACAGACCGACTCAAATTACAGTTGCCAATTAGACATTACGCCGTTGTGACTGCTAATTATGTCCACCACGATGTGACGCAAATTGCAACTACCAATTAGCGCCCACACTAGATGACTATATAACTGTATCAGCACTTTGAAATGTTTACTATTTTTGCAAATTTTTTAAGTCTCACGACTGAATACATTTTATTATTTTCCCAAAGGACGCCTTTCCTTGGAATTACATTTCTCGGGATGCCTCACTTCCAGTTTATAAGAAGCTGCCAAATTAATTCCGTTTGTAAACCCCTGCAAAACAGGCACAGGCATGTTTGCTAGTATTGGTACTTTACATTGGCTGTGCAGGAGCCCAACATTTCAGAATAACTCTTGCATTTGACAAATATAGAGTACGCATAGGTGCATGCTTCAGGCCCCCCATTTACCGGGCCAAATTCCAGCACTATATAGCTGAAAGACTGTGACATTGGGCCGGCGCTTGATTGAGGATAGAAAGAGTGCGTGAGGTGGACTCTTAAGGTTCCACCCATGACCTTATGTCATAAGTATTGGTGACCTTAATGCACTGGACATCAACTGGAACATAGTACAAGCTTCGGGCCTAAAATAGCCTTTCGACAGTTGTTTTCTAAACAAAACATTGAATGCCTTTCTCACTTAGCATATCCTGTTTCCAACTAGAACACGTGAAAGCAAAAGGTTTAATTGCCTCGACCTGATTTTAACGAAGATATCAGACAGCCGTTGAAGCAAGTTTACCAAACGCTGCCATAACTCACTTGCCCCGTTCTGCCTTGCACCTCATTTCTCAGGCCTTGACAGCAACCGCAGCGGCTATTAGTATAGGCACATACTATTGCCGACAAATAAAAGGGAGGCTGGAATGGCCATTTCTGGCTTCTTAGCTGTCGTCAGGCAGTCATACCCAACCCCAAGTGGGGACTATCTGAGGCTCCAACTGGTGACTCAATAATTAGGCCACGTCCCACTCCGCATTGTGGCTGTATCACGGAAAGCTGTCACCTGGCTGGTAAAATCTGCGTAAATGGCTCCATCTGAGCATGACCTCTTGAAACTGCCACTCATGTGAGATACCAGCTATGTTTATGAACGCCTAGTCAGTTCTGCGGGAACCGTCACGGTTGTGACGCAAGCAGGCGGCTTGTTTGCCTTTGTTACCACCCATACTAACTGAGCCGTCTGTGTGTGTACTAGCTTAGTCCAACAGCAGGTGCAGGTGGCCGAGAGAGGAAAGAGAGTGCGAAAGATGCTACACAAGCCCGCCTGACTATGAAATAACTTTCGT